CTAAAAACAAATTAACATATCATTTTGTACAGGCGAGGGGGGGGAGGTAATAGAAGAGCAATGTCCGAAATGCACCATAAAAAAATTGTGTAATTGCAGTAGATGGATGAAAAATTAAAGAAAACAATTTCGATCTCAATAATAATAATCAGCATGAGACAAGATTTTCATGGAGCATATAATATCCTCTGGAAAGGTGCGATTGTCGCTCGAGGGACTTTAGACTTAAATTGATTATAGAAACTTACACTCTGTGTCTCAGAAGGAACAGCATTGCGAATATTCAGGAACACGAAGCGAACATCCGCGGGCGATTGAGATTCAGATTCAACACGTTGAATTTATACACGCACGCCGATGACGATCGGCGATATATGCAGTCGCCTCGCTCGAATGGGCGCATTCTGCAGGATGCAGACATACGTATAGGCGCGTATATGCACGCGCGAGTTACAATGCGGAATACAGTCTGTTGATACGAAGCGATATCTCCGTGCCGTCCGGAGACAGCGACAACGCAACGCAGCCGCTACCAGACCTAAACAACGGCACGGCGCAGCGGCGGCGGTCCTTATCGTTTTCCTGTACTCCTATCATCTGCATCGCTACCTCTGTGCTCATTGCACATTAGAAAACGTCATCGGGTTCGTCGTGTAAGCGCAAGGCTCGATGCACGCCTGAAAACAGGAACCATTATGAGTAACTTGCACAAAGAAAATTATCCAATCGCATTTTTTTTATATACTAATAAACGCATGTAAAATATGTGATTGGATAATTTTCTTTATGCATACATTTATGCGGCTACGCAAATTTTGTGTGGCTACACCGCTAAGGCCGTAGGTTATAAGAATTGCATATATCTTATTATACCAGGCGATTTTTTGGCGTGCTCCCGGTATAACAACCAAAAAGTAACCGCGACTAAGGCTTATCTTCGCTTTCATTGGGATCAGAAGACAAAGACAGCCTCAAATCACGGTTGCTTTTGGTTGCTATCCCAGAGGCACGCCAAAAATCGCCTATCGTTTACGTTTGTATTTAAAAAAATATTCTTCAACAATTCGAATATCGGATCGAAACTCAAAATAAACGAGCATACGAATAAAAAGATTTAGAGTGCATTGTAAATGGACCTACGTGTAAAGGATTTAACTGTGGAAGACTGTCAGGAAGGTACAGGTGGGTTGGCACACACAATAAATTATTGCTTCCACACAAACGTGGACCCCGTTCGCGAGGACGGTACTCGTACAAAAGACGCTCTTTCTTAATTCGAATAAGTCAAGCGGCCAATGATAGCCGCGCGTGGTCTTCCCGCGCTACTCGGGGCCAATCACTCTGCAGTGACGTAACCAGCGGGAGCGTCGCGTCGCGACAGCGCCTCAGGCGGCCCTTAGTGGAACTAGGACGGACGGGAGTCGGTAAGAGGGAGCTCCCTCGATAACGATTTGTCTTCTCGTGCACGAAACTAGGAAATTGACGCATTTATTCCTCCTTTGATTCTTTGCACACATGCGACCAACGAGATTGCGCAATTTCCCGGCGCAATTTCGCACAGTCTGTGTTGTAATAACGTTATAACGCGGAGAAATAAGACGAAATAAAACCACAGCATATAAGATCCTTATTTCGAAAAAAACATTGTTTTTGTCCTCTACTATATTTTTACGCGCGCGAAGTTACATGGTGGCGTTATCTCTCGTTAAAACTTGACACTACCTGGGCTATGTTCCAAAATGTTTGACTGCCGGTACTGAAAGTCTATTAGTTTACACGTGCGATAATCACAATTGGAAATTGCTTCTTACAAATTTTAATTTTAAATACAACGCGACATATAAATGTATGATACGAACAAGGTTTTTCTCTTAATTTTACGAACGTAAGTCGCGATAAATGCAAATTTCGTATCCGTGTAATTGAAGTAACCTCCATCGATTACACATTCGCTTGGTGAAGCTCTTTGTTATGTATTATATTTAAAAAAAAAAAAAAAGATATGGCTGGTACCATGAGACAACTGGAGGAGCGTCAGCTCCCCGCAGAGGTGACAGCGATGCTATGGTCACCGAAGATGGATCTTTTAGCAATTAGTAATGTCAAAGGTTAGATCTGAAAACTAACACTTTAAAAACATTACTTAAAGTTAATATTTATTTTTCTCCTTTTTATAATTATTCGTAAAAAAAAAAGCAGAATTAATTACTTGAATTAAGTCTAACTAAAATATTTAACGAATAGATATTAATGAGAGGATTTTAAAAACCTATTATCCGCAATGTAAAACTTTATAGGTGAAGTCGTTCTTCATAGGCTCACATGGCAAAGAGTATGGTTGTTGAGTCCTCAAGATGAATCTGATATCACTGCCCATTTGGCATGGAGACCAGATGGAAAGCTACTTGCAGTGTGCTATGAGATTTCCAAACTATTGTGTCTTGTCGACGTTGAGACTAAAAATATCATTCACAAAATTAAATTGCCTACAAATGAATCAACTGTTTGTGTTAAGTGGTTGCCACTGTCTAATACTAAACACGAGGGTTTAGTAACAAATAATAAAACTAATAAACCTGCAGGCGAATATTTGCCACCTCTACCTAGTTTAATCAGAAGTTATAGCACAGAACCTGAGCGAAAAGAATTTCTGTCTCGCATTCTGGATATGCTCTTTGTAAATATCACAAAACACAATCCTAACAGATAGCGTTTGTAATTTCAGGATTAATAACTGTATATATTTCTTATAGATTGGTCAAAAAGATGGCACAGTGTTAATATATATTTTTGGCATGTTTTATTGTGGCACTATAACTGTAGGTCATGGACCAATCTTGCAGATCGCAGGTGGATCTAATAATCCAATATGGATTACATGGAAGGATAATAATTATGTCAAGATAACTAGAGTATCTTGTCCATTGTTTGAGAAAAGTACAGCATTTCTTAAGGTATCTTAAGTATAATATTGTGCATAATAATTTAGAATTTGTTAAAAAGAACATTAAATCAATTTATATATTTTACTATCAGGTTGCACAAATTCAAGCCAACATAGAATGTTTAAAAGATTATCTCTCGCGAACCTTAATGGCTACTTGCGAAGCTTGGGAGACAATACTCTTGGAAATGGATGAAAAACTCACACGATATGCAGAGGCAAATCCACCTGGTATTATGTCTGCAGACTTTTTAGAACTGTTAATGATTGGAATACCTACGAAAAATTTAGAGACTTTTCTACTTAGAGATCTTACAGAGAAAGGATTAAAAAAATTTGGACATAGTATTGAAATGTGTTATAGTAATATACAAGTATGTTGAATAATACATTTTTTTACTTTAATTGTGTGCATTATACGGGTTTAGAATGTAAAAGAGATTATTTTCACAGAAACTAGTCTCAAAAAATTTAACTAGTGTTGGTATGGCCTTGGTTTATCAATTAGCTGAATTAAGAGGTATGGTGAGAGTAGGTGGCACATATGAAGCATTAGGATTACGTGATGAAACACTTATAACTAATGCCATTAATGAATCTGAAGCTTTTTTGTCAAAATCTTATGAAATCGAGCAAGTTATAGATCAAAGTATGCGCAATTATAAAGCATTTTTTCGGTGAGAGTAAAAAATTGATTAATTAACTTATATTGTTTATATTATTATTTATATTTAATAATACATTCTTAATTTCTTGTACTTATAGATGGTTGTATGTAGCCATTCTTCAATTAACAGATGAAAGAGCACCATCGGAAGTAAGTCGTGTAAGTCAGCAGGAATTAACATTTATTGCAGAATTTCTGAGTGATTTTGACAAGCCAAAAGCAAACGGTAGAGTAAATTTAGAAAAATTGGGTCAGTATTTACGTCGTGAAAATCTACAGACTCCCCTGACTTCAGAAGGAAGCGAATGGGCTGCTATGCTCGAAACAAGCAATTGTTTGCGCAATTATGCACATATAGTAAAGCAAAATTTTAATTTATCTTTACTACAATCTCATGTAAAATTAGTCGCTGCTGTAGAAAATGTTTTTGTTGAAGCCTATCAGAGCTTAGTTAATCACTTTGTGATGACTTCGATCTCTTTGCCATCATTTACATGTCTTATATCTTCGCAAATTGTAACAAGCGATGGAAATTTTTTGTTAGCTATGAGCGAGACTAACAACAAATTGTTAAGACTTTTTAACATAAAATATTCGTCTGTAGATCCTATATCTCTTGATTCTAAGATGGTCACAATAGATATGAGTCACAAACAAGGTTAGTAATATATATTACATACAATTGTAATATAATTAATAATTTGTTTCTCTTTATTATGTTATAAAAATAATTTTTCTGTTTATTTAGGAGAATGTTCAAAAGAAAACATTGATACTGTGATAATAGATCTGCAATTTTACTCGCAAGATTATCTTAGTTTGCTTATATTAAATGAACAAACTCATGCATCATTTCTTGTACAAATGCCGTTACATAGCACGTTTAAATATCAAGATAATGACACAATAATACCAATAACCGACCTCATTGGTACAACATGGCCGAAACCATTTCAAGGAATATCTGCGAGACGACTAGCAGTCAGTGGCTCTCGGAAAGTAGCTGCTATTTTGAATGAAAATAATAGAAAGGTTCGTTTACTCGAAACTGAAGCGGAACCTGAGGATGAGGAAGATGAAGAGGAGGATGAAGGACGTTTTATGGAAGGTATGATGGATACCACACCTAGTGCACATTTTCCTGCAGAAACAAAAACTGACGTACAAAAATTCTACAAGGAAGAAAACAGCTGAAGTAAAATATATTTAAGGTATGAATAATTTTATGTGTAAAACAATTATAATTGTAAATAAATTTTTCGTATAATTGAAAATTTTATTTACTTCAGTTACTTCTCAAAATTATAATTTTAAACTTATTATTTTTAATAAATATTTTGAATAAATATTACAAGATATATATTTCTAAAATGATGTAATTCCATGATATATACAATACAATTAAAATTTATGGTATCGCTTGCTCCTTTTGCATTTGTTTAAATACCTTGGGAAAATCAATGTCAAGAACAGCATTATCCATTCCAACGTTCTCGACACGTGATGAAACGCCAGGTGCATTATCTGGCGTATAACGTACTGGAGAGTTTTCTCTCGACTCCTCAAGATCTGTAAAAATGATTATATATAAAAGATAATCATATTTTCTAAATGTGAAAGTGTATTTTCTTTCTATTCGTTAATTTTTATTTAAAAAATTACCAAAGAATCTGTGACTTCTTTTTTTCTTAACAGTAATAATTAGAAGAACGACAGCTACGGCCACCACCAATACCATAACAGCAGTCATTCCTCGTAACAGGTTTGTCTATTCGAATACACATTTTAATAAAATGTACATATATTTATATTATATACTTATGTTAAAATACCTCAAAATCATTTTCCCAAAGTTGCTCCCAGTCGTTTGTAACTATTAATTCAACAGAATGAACTTTTAATTGAGAATCGTCGAATAAACCCTTTGAAAAACATTTATAAAATCCAGATTCTGCTGTTGATACGCCCTATAAAATTATAAGTATAATTTTGATAATACATCTTATTAAATATTGACTGTTATTTAAAGGAGAAAAATCTTACAGTATATGATACATTTAAAATACATACATATTCTAAAATAGATACATACTCTAATTTGAAGCATGCCAGTCAGTACTTCATAATTATATTTCTTTTCATTTATAGGATTTCCTGGACCAATAACATTGTTATTTCCAAATTGCCAAAACATGAACAGATGGTGTTCATCAATACTTAAGCATGGGAGTTCAGCCAAGTGTCCAGCTATCACTTCTTTCACTGTTACTATGTCATCTGCAGTTTCAGATTTTTGTAATATAAATGCTGAATAAAAAAGTATAAAAAGCCACATTGTCACCTAAAAATTGATAATAAATATGCTTATATGGATTATTTCACAGTTAGAGAGAAAAACAATTTCTTATATATAAAATTGTGTCAAAACATAAAAATATATCCAAGAAAATATAAAAATTTAAATAGATATATGTTCAATTACTATATTCTGCCACAATCAATATTGGTAAACTGTTAGATATTACTAGCTTGTCTTCTTTCATGATTACATTCTAATTACATTTATCACCTTTTTTCACAATTACTGCAAAACCAGTTTGTTGATCACAGATGGTTAGCACAATAATTATACACAATAAAACTTTTCTAAGTGAATGTTGTATAATCATGAAAATGATTCTTTCTCTCTAACAAGCAATTGACTTGCTTTTATTTTTTCTATGCAATTAAATTCACTGATAATAGCATTCATATAAATTGTTGATTACAAATTGGAAAACAACTCATTTACTGACGATATGAGAAGATTGGTACAAGCACTGTAATGGAGTTACTTATTTTTAACTCTGTCCTATTCGGCCTTGTGCAATACCAAGTATTTATAGTAGACTAGAACTATACTTTGCAATTGCTGTATGTTCTCAGATCCAGTGCTATAAATCAATCTTGTCAAAGAAAACCTAGCCTTATGTTTGAATAAATAAATTAAACAGATACAAAAAACATTTCTATATTTTATATATTTAAATTAACACATATAAGATAAACACAATACTATATTATTCAATGTAATGTTAAAATATAAAGTGAATAATTTATAAAAATATATAATATTTATTAAATAGTTGATAATATACAGCAAGCAACATGTATAAAATAATTTTTTATTAATATATGTATTAATACACACCCTTAAATAACTTTAAATAAATAAGTTCCATCCATTATCAATATGTAGTTTGCAACATTAAATGAAAAATAACATCTATGGCTAATATTGGGAAAAGCAGCCAGAATGGTGCCAATACTGCTTTGGCTGGTAGAGACCAGTGAGGGGCTTCTAATTTCAGACAAATTAAAATCTGTGCACACAGTTTTAAGATTACAGCTATCATGTATCGTGTCTGAAACAATTAAAATTGTTATATAATGAAAAATTGTATAATAAATTACATTGTACATTAAAATCTGATTTTACTGAATTAATTCAAACTTTGTATTGTTAAAAATATTTCTTAATTATTACGCTTTGTTCCTTATCTAAATATTACTTTTATAAAATAAGTATTTCTATATGTAAAAAAAAAAAAAACAAATTGGAATATAATATTTTCAGTCGCAAGAGGATGAAAGAAATGTTATGTCTTATCAAATTATAAAACACTTACTTCTCGCTGTAAGCTAAAGTTATGTACACTTTTGCAGTACGAAATCATATTAAATACAATATAAATAAGAAGAATGTTGTCGTAAAGCCACATTGGAATGAAAACTATAAACCAATTCCATTGTATTCTCTGATCAAGCCTCAAAACAAGTAAGATCAGGAATATGAGCAAATTAAACCAAGTGAATAAAGCGCGATGTAAAACCGCCATGGATTATTTAATTAATTATTATTATCTTAATTATGCAGTTTCATAAGGCTCATGCATTTGTGTTGATAACTCTCGACAATTCTAACCTATAGCGATAATCGCACTACTATTGAATTTCTGCTATATGCAATCAAATGTCTGTTCCTGCACTAGAACTTTCTTTCTCGCTTTCTACAAATACCAAACATATACCTATCTCACTTTAAGTTCTAAAGGTGTACACCCTGTTTTATCGACGAAATATTAACTGGCCATAGGGAAGATTCGAACCAAAAAATCGTGGACATTACCGACGCGATCGTGGACATCGGCTACGTAGTTCAATGTCCACGTTTTGTGGACATAACAGGCGCTTCATAAAGAGAAGATTTTAAACCTAATTCGAGAATAATTTAAATGTAATATTTTTAGACCATTTAAAAGGTTACATTTTTTATTAAGATATTCAATTTTATCGATATAAAATTAATGGATATTTAAAAAAATATTTAATTGATAAAAAGTTTATTTTAAGTTTATTTCTTTTTCATCAAAATAAACCCCGAAATATTACAAAATAATTGTTTATAAAAGTATATAATTCTTATGCGTGTATTGAAATTCGAAAGGTGTGCATTTTTAGATTAATCTGATCACAAATTAGCAAAGTTCACAATTTATTTTTCTATATATCTTTATACTTTGCATTATTTTCACTTTAGTAGAATCGATTTCGACGAAGGTGAAGTTGTTCTTCACCTTCTTCGTTTTTTAATATTTTAATAAAATTAACAAAATTACAAGTAGAACAAATACATACTGTATATGCTATATTTTTTATTCATTTTTTCGTTCACATATCGTCATATGGCAAATACATGAAACGCACGATCTAGCTAAATGCAAAAGAAGAATGTATAAAAATTCATAGAGTTCATATAGGATATGACAGATGATTTTTAGAAAAAAGAGAAAGTCAGCTAGAATATTAAGTTTAAAATATGGGAATTTTGATTACATATACCTAAGTATGTACATGATCCTTGAAGCGTTTAATTATAATAGCGTCTTTCACTAGCAAGGCTACTGCGCACTCAATGCACATTAAACTCGTTACACACTACTCTAAAATCTGATATTAAAGTGAGATATCACAATTGATAAAATGCCTATTGTGTATTTTGTCAAATAACACAATAAAATATATTGAAGATTTTATGGTTTCTTACTCATTTTCTTATTTTTATTAGACATATATATATTTCTATGTACACTGAGTGCGCATTAGATCTGCGCAGTGAAAAACGCTATACAAAAAATAAAGTCAGCGTTATTATCAATGACCGATTGAACCATGCACTCGTATGGAGTATAACGTCACTGTGAAATCATTAAACGACAGTCGCGTATCTCATAAACACTGTATAGTGGCAGATTTTAAGAATAAAAGTAAGATTATAGAAGCAGAAGAAAAACAAATATAAGAAAAATGTAGATGAAACAAGAAAGGAAGAATAGAACAAAGGAGACGAAAGAAGAAGGAAAATATGCATTGATCATAATTTTTTAAATATGTGTATTATGCTGTTTTAAAATAATTAATATTTTTAATATTATATCAAAATGCGCGATGTAGAAAATAAAGTAATCGAAATTGCGGGGTTGTTTAAATTGAACTTCGGAAAACGCTTTGTCTCTCTTCGTGAAAAAAATAAGAGAGGTGGGTAGAAAATGTCAATCACATCACTGCCGGTGATAACGATCATGCAACATGTTTCTTGACGTGACTCGAGAGAACGCCAGTATCTCATTCCTTATTCGTCCCTCATCCACGAACAAATCTGTTTGATTAATTGAATAACTTATAACGTGCATAAATAGTCTTCAGAAATTTGTGCGTTGCTCGCGTCTTTCAATAAAATTAGAATAGAAGTATAAATATGAATGCAACAAATGATTCTCAAGTACGTATATTTACAATTTATAACTTTATATCGATAGAGATAAATCATTTTGTCGGGATACGCTTTGCAAGATGTTACGTGAAACACATAATTGCGTCTTAGAAATTAATGTATCATGATATGAATATATAACGGAGGAAAAGCTTTTAATACTTTTGCCACTCCGTAGCTGCTTTTATATAATCACGAAAGATAAGAAAATAATATTAAACAGGTTAATAATAGTCAATGATCGTCTGATGTTTTTACCCGGACAACATACAATATATAAAAAATATTTACAAAATATTTATAAAATTTATTTTAAATGTTTCGTAAATATTTTTGAAGTCTTACATTGCACAGATCATAATAAGTACTATGAAATTAGTAAATTACTAATCAGACGTTACTATGAATTCAAGTAAAAAATACATATTAGAAATATTTATTTGTATATTTATTATAAATATTACATAAAATATTTAGTCTATATTTTAATAATATTTCGAATAAATAGCTTTAATATAAAATATGTATAAAATATTATATAGCATTTTAAATAATGAAAGTAATAAATATTTATCATAAATATTTTATACTTGTGATGTCTGATGTTTTCAATTATTTTAATAATTATAAATTTTCTGGAGATCAAAGAAAGGAAAAAAAAAACAAAATGCAATTATAAATGTTTATTAATTAATTTATCGGCGATTAGTTTATTAAAGCAGTTTTTTATTAAGAAAAATTGGAAATAGAGATGATGAATTTATAATATAATTAGAAATAATTATTAAAATAATTTATCAAAAAATGTTTTTCTTACGTCTATCCATTTTTGAAAATAGTTTGGAAGAAAAAAAAATGAAAAAAGTTAAAAAAGTAAAACATTAAATTGAATTATAGATTTATATATCATTACAGGATAAAATGATAAACTTTCTCTTCTATGTGAATTATTTCATCAGATATTTATCCTTTGAATCAAGATTTATTTGTTAACTGTATCTACGTGTAAATTTTATGTACCCTGATGATGATCCGATAAGGGTAGAAACGTTTGATTATGTACTTTACTTATTGTTTATATTAAAGAGCAACTCGTCGTAGCCTTTTGAGTTTTATAATTAGAAATGTTGCAAGAAATTCTACTGATTTAATTAATCGGAATTCAATTCAATTGAGTTACTTTTTAAGTAAACCAATCTGTATCAGATACACATAACTGGTATGAACTGATATATAGTGTATTTTGAAAAAAGAAAAAAATATACAACATATAAGAATGGCATTTGCATTCGTACTTCTCGCTAATCGTGCGAAACTAGAGATAATACATTGCGAATATACATTATAGAGATCCGGAGCAGTCTCTTAGACTTCTACAATAAGCCATTACTTACCTAAGTTTTAAGTAGGTAATAAGAAATTGATCACTCACAGTCGATTATTCTTCTCACATTCGATTGTGACTGATAAATTTCTTATGATTTAACACTTAAAACTTAAGTATGGCTTAATTATTGTAATGGGCCTTCTACAATAAGCCATAAGTCATAAGTTAGAAATGGACCAATTATTATAGTCGTCAATTTTTAGTTTCTTACTTCTGATTTATAACTTATGGCTTATTGTAGAAGGGCTATAAAAGGCCCATTACACGTCGATTAGGATTAGGTCATGACAAAAGGCGTTTTCAGCGTTTCATATTGCTGTGGGTAACGCGGCTATAAATACGTGTGCCTAATGTTCCTTATTCCGAAAACACGAGAAGCCGAGGGTCTATTTTAACGGCATTGGAGCGAGTTCCGCGTAATCGACGGCACTCGTCCCGCTGACCCTCTACAGAATATTATCGCCCTGGCCGGCGAAACTGGCGAAAGTCGATCCCCGATCACGCGAACTCGCGTGTCAAGCGTCTCCGCAGTCCGCAGTTTGTGTCCGCGGTACGATTTCTTTCGCGCTGTCCTGTAACCTCTCGGCCCGGTCCACGTGCATCGTTAATCGCGATGTCGAACGTACGAACGTTGGTAAGGACCGCTCCGACCGATCCGATCTCGCGTCATGCAAATCACGATATTATTACGCAATTATCGCCAGCGGCAATTTGTACTTTGCACATAAGTAGGCGTGGTACTTTTTTTTTTTTTTTTTTTTAACAATGACTTAGTCGGAAAGTTTGAATTTTAAGGCTATATCTTTTTGAGGCATCTTATTAATTGTGTATAATTGATTGTTCTATGAAAAAAGTGCTATAAATATAAAACATTACATTATTTACTTGTATATTCTTGAAAAACTTTAATCTACGAAGATCTTAGAAATTTAATAGAATCTGTGCATATAACTATACTTTTTAAGTGTGAAAAGTAAAGTTTACACATAAAAAACAAAGATAAAATTTCATCAAAGTTAAAACGGTTAAGAATGTTATATACATATATATGTTTTAAAATGAAATTTTATGTTCTTAGATGCTCCCAATTTTGGCTGCGGTAGGAACAATAGTTGTTATAGGAGTAGCGTTTAAAATATATAAATCCTGGAGTGAGAAGAAGAAAAAGTCCGTGCCAGTACTACTAGTTGATCCAGTAGTCAAGTACAGTCTACCTCTAATTCAGAAAGACATAATAAGTCATGATACGAGGAAATTTAGATTTGGATTACCTACACCAAGTCATGTCCTGGGTCTGCCAATCGGTCAACATATACATTTAACAGCAAAAATTGGAGAGGAGGTTGTGATACGTTCATATACACCTGTATCAAGTGATGATGATCGAGGCTACGTTGATCTGGTTATCAAGGTATAATGTGACAATATAAGATTGGTGATAACAAAAGGAAATCTTTTTTAATAGCGTCGTTTATAGGTATACTTCAAAAATGCGCATCCAAAATTCCCCGAGGGAGGAAAAATGTCTCAATATTTGGAAAATATGAACATAGGGGACACCATTGATTTTAGAGGTCCGTCTGGTAGACTAGTTTACAAAGGACAAGGAAAGGTTACTATAAAACTTCTCAGGAAGGAACCACCTGTGGAATATAATGTTAAAAAGGCAAGTACATACATTTGCTACTGTTGTACATGTATGTATATCTAAAATAGAATATAATTTTATTCTGTTAATATTATCGTTATTAAAAACAACTTTTGTACATGTGTTAATAATATAAATTTACGTTAATTTGTAAAGATGGTTATGCTCGCTGGTGGTACAGGCATCACGCCGATGCTGCAACTAATTCGTGCAATAATAAAAGATCCTACAGACGAAACTCAAACTTCTTTGCTGTTCGCCAATCAAACAGAAAAAGATATCTTGTTACGAGACGAACTAGATGAAATTGCCAAGAAATACCCAAACAAATTAAAACTTTGGTATACATTGGATTCAAGTAGCGACGAATGGTCTTATAGTACAGGATATATAAGTGCTGATATGATAGAAAAGCACATGTTTCCACCATCACCCGACACCATCGTACTTATGTGCGGACCACCTCCGATGATTAATTTTGCTTGTACACCGAACCTTGATAAACTTGGTTATGATGTAAAATTACGATTCGCGTATTAATAAATTGAGGTTTAGGATCATTAGACAGTTTACATCATCTGGTGGAGATTTACATACTTTTTTTTAGTACTTTAATCAAGTTAAAGATCAGTTTTTTGAATGTATAGTCTGCTTTGTTGAAGAATTTCAAACAATGTTATTATGCCCCAATCAGAGAGATGTATGTGTGTCGGAAGATTTCCATCGACACTTATCCATAAAGACACTTCAAATAGAGTATTAATGACTATTATATATAATAAGTATATAGTTGTAAACTTACAATAATCAATGAAACGCATCCACTAGTAGCCATACTAGCAGCATGGTGTGACTACTTTCCATGTAGTATAAGAATGTCAATCCATAAAACATTTACAAGGCAGCAATCTTATTCTTTTTTGCATTTTCTTTTTTATTGAAATACAGGCTGTGATTGCCGAATGACAAGTAAAATTCATAGAGTTTAATTTAATAAAAATGGGGTCACAAATCAAATACATGTGAAATGAATATTTATCTTATCACTAAAATATACTTTATTCAATCTTATATGAATGTTATAGAAATACTTGTGTATAAGACAAATGAATAAAGTATATTGTAGTGTGCGTGTATGTGTGCGTGTGTGTGAGAAATATTCATGTAAAATATTGCATCTCAAAGCATTTATTAATATTGAATCTATTGTAATGTTATAAAAAATTTTGAACGCATACAGATGTGCTTCTTATTGTATAATACTTTATTTGTGAGAGATCGAGAAATGGAATATAATTCATATATAAATGACATATGTTCAAAAAGTGGAATATATTTTTTCCTTACCATCATTAGTACATTAATATTATCAAATGTATTATCGTCAATGAGATTAACGTAATATTTAATTAATTAAACGCATCAATTAAGAGACCACATATGTGTATGAAAAATTGCAGGCAATTATGAAATCAAAGCGAGAGTGACTAATTCCTTTTTTTTTCTTCCCAATGAATTAACAACGTCCTCTATCTTGCACGCGTTTTCTAGGAGCCGCGCGCAAAATATCATCCACCCGAAGTATCATTTCTGCTGCTTCAGCCGCACTCACAAGAACTTGTCTCTTCACTACCCAAGATTCGGTGATTCCTAGCCGTTTCATACATCCGAGTTTGCCCATTTCCATATCTGCAAAATTGGAGAACAATTTAATTTAATTTAAAATTTACTTCTAAATGTAAATAAAGGCTCTGTTTTGAATAAAATTCACAAATCAGGGGCTAATGAGTCGAGCTGGATGTTTTGACTAATAATTACTTTTTTGTTACCTATAAAATTTAATTTAATTTGATATCGTACCATAAAAACACATTTTTTTTTAGAGCAATTTATTATATATTTAAAAATCTTTTCAAAAGAGAGTATAAGAATTAGAAATTTACCTAATCCCATGGTGCTGCCCCCAGAATTATGCGCGGCTCTCAGCTCACTAACCAATTGTGCCGAATCATAGCCAGCATTATCAGCGATAATGGTTGGCAGTTGCTGTAACGCTCGTGCAAAGGCTTCCATTGCAACGGCCTCTTTGCCCGGCGTAGCCGCGGCTGCTCGCATAACCGCACAAGCCATGATCATCTCGCTGCATCCACCACCGTAAACTATTCTCGACTCGCGTACCGTAGCTGCTAAAACGCAGAGCGCGTCATGTAGTGATCTCTCGGCTTCGTCGATGATTTGCTGCGTTGCGCCACGAATAACAACAGTGCACGCTTCACCCAATGGAACTCCAGAGAATCTTAAGAGCGTATCTTCTCCTATCATAACCTGAGACAATACAACAACGCAATTGATATATAATTAAAGTTAAAACAAAACTAATAATCACATATACATTAGAATCGAAGTGCTCCACCTTATAGAATATCACATACATACGAATTTCAAAAGTAAATTGTAAACTTGCCTGTTCGATAAGACTGCATTTTCCTAGTTTGACTACATCTGGATTCTCAAAAGTACTAACAATCTCGCCACCAGTAACAAGCGAAAGTCTTTCGATACCATCAAAATCGGCATGCTCGATAGCCATAACTCCGGCATCAGCAAATAATTGTTCTGGATAATTGTATATCAACTGCCTATTGATAAAGACGTTGCATCCATGCTTCAAAATTTTATCAATCTTATCCTGTGCGGATTCAGAAAATTATTGTGCAATTTTATATTAAACTTTATAAATATGTGTGAAAAACTTTTAGAAATGTCCATTACCTTCATTTTTTCTTTTTCTGCAGCTTCCAATTCTGCTATCTTTGCCATTGAATCTACACGTACTCTGGAGCCAAATACCTATAAATAAATAAATAAATGTGTATAACATTAGGTTTATTAAATAATTAAGAAAAATATATATAATAAATTATATATATAAGAGAAGAAATATAAACCTTAATTTTATCCATGTCCATAGATGTATTAGCGATAAGTATACGTGCGTCAGTAACTTTTTGCGGTTGGTGAACACCTGGTTTTTTATCTAATAAGAATCCTTCATCTAAGAAGGAATCAGCAAGTGTTGCACCACGCTTTTTTATAACTTGAATCGCGGACAAATTACCAGAACCTTTAAGACGCAACACTGCGTCAACTGCAAGCTTGCTGAAGTGCTCCTTGTGCTGGGATAAGATCTTGGAACTCAATGTTGTACGAGCAATATTTAATAAATCTTCTCGAAATCGATCGAGATCTGCAGAATTGTCTGTGGCTGCATTTTTTAAAGCTTCACTCGCGACATTCGTAGCATTTCTCCAACCACTAATGATAGTTTGTGGATGAATCTTTTGATTCTCGATTAGCTTCTCGGCTTCTCGCAAAAGTTCAGCAGCTGTGAAAACAAAATTAAAGATATTTAAGACCGAAAATAAAGATCATTAAAGATACTTAATAATATTTAATATTAAATAATATTAAAAAATCAAATGAATTAATTGTATCACAATAAACAATTTTTATTAGGACCATATAATATAAATAATAAATATAATAAATGAATAAAATAATAAATAAAAGACAATGGCTATACTGGTCAAAGCTGGATCTTGAGTGCTTTCAAATAAATTCATGCGAATTTATATATCACATTTGTATTCTCTCAAATTGTGCACTGAATTGGTTTTCTAATTTCTGGGGGCCTATTCTGTACACGGCTATCGACAGTTGTCGGTGTCGTTAAGTAGCGATAACCAATGATAAGGACTGTTCTAGGAGAAAAGTGTGATTCTTATTGGCTATTGCTACCGTGTATAGAATAGGCCCCGGACTCAGAAATGCAACTGAACTATCATAGTCATAAAATTAAATTAATTAGTGATTGCTCTTACTTATTGTGTATTTATATTGTTTTAATAAATTGATTATTATCATTTATACACATATTGTCTGAAAGATGAGTATATTTCTGCATATTGATTGAATATTATTAAGCCTTCGATGATCTAAAGACTTATGATGCTTGCACAGAATGCTGGAGTATACAGAATGATTCTCCTCTAAGATAATATTTTTCACAATAAATTTATTTATAGATTTTTAATATATTAAGGTCTTAAAATACTGCTAATTAAGCATAAAATTATTAAATTGCTAATCAATTTAATTTGTGATTTGTAATATTTAATGACTATGATAGTTCAGTTGTATTTCTAAGTCTGGAAAATCAATATGGCACATAATTTGAGAAACTACAAACATGGTATTAAATTCATATAAAATTATTTAAAAACGCTAAAGATCCAGTTCTTATTAATTGACATTGTTTCTTAATCATATTATACTTACCGAGAACAGTGACTGAAGTAGTACCATCACCCACTTCGTCATCTTGGACACGAGACATATCTACCAAAATCTTGGCAGCGGGATTATCAACGCCAATACTTTTCAGGATAGTAGCACCATCATTAGTGACATGTACTTGTCCCGCAGATCTACCATGAGATACAAGTATCTTATCCATGCCTTTAGGACCGAGAGTAGATTTGACTAAGTCTCCAATAGCTATGACTCCAACAAATGAGCTCAATCGAGCAATCTCTGCCTTCTCTTCTCCAGCCTCATTTTTGAGAATGCGTACTGGATTTAAGGAGACCTTACAATCAAATAAGATAAAACAATTTATTTAATTGCTCAAGATACAATTTTTCATTTAAAATTTTTCATTTTAAAAAGTAGTAACTGTTTACGAGTACAATATGTGTGTCAGAGATTCAAGTGTAAAAGTCAATTGAAAATCTTAATATTTACAAAATGCATCAAAATCATTTATTGTGGAAATATTTATTCCTTCGTTACTTCAACGACACGTGAGCCGTTTGTCATGTTTCCCAAAGACCGGGTTCTGACGAGCGCAAGAGAGTTATTAGCATTTACTATACAAGCGAGATTACTGGAGCATGATAAATTACCATAGTGAATCAATGGAGTGTACGTAGATATTTTTCCAAAAAAATCACACGAAGTCCGAAAATGAAAATCTCCGACGCACGATGATGGATTAACGAGGAGATGTCGCGATTCAGGAAGCTACCGCCATGCTGCGTGGAGCTGCGTGAACCGTTTCTATGAAACGGTTCTTTTATCCGTCTGTGATTCGTTACTTTTGGACATTAAGAAGTCTAAGAACAAATTAGAAATCAAATGCGCAACTTAACCAATCAAAAAGAACATATAGTGTGAGACTCATTTTACCGAGTTATATTCTGGATTTAATTCCTTTTAAGGTTCGATTTGTGTGCGATCAGTCAATTTGCCGCATAATTTTCTAGCAATAATAAAATATTAAATATATAATTATATAAAAAAATATTATATAAATTAAAGAAACACGGAAAATACATAAGTAGGAAAAATAAGATAATTTAAAAAGTTATCTATACAACCTCACAAGCATATAAATTATTATATACAATTTATTATCAGTTACATGAAGCATTTGTATAATATGAATTTTACATTTTGCGACAATGTGTGAAATATTTCCTTAATTATTTTTTAATATATCTTTGTAAATTATATAACACCCATTATTTCCAGCACTGATGTATCAAACGATCTGAAAACCCAGTGTAAATAATTATAATGTTTTTATGCATAGATTATCAATAACATACAGATACCTGATACATATATATAGATAGATTAATTCACATACTTGGACTTTATTTCGTCACCTGGAATGTAAAATGGATTGCAAACAGCATTGGAATATGCAGCATGCAACTTCTTAAAAATCTATCAACAGATTACCAAATATTTGCATATTAATAAATATGCATAATTAATAAAATATCAAGTTGATAATGCATAAGGAATATTACCATTTTTATTTCATTATCCCTTAATGAAACATTAGATGATTGTAATACTATGACAAATTTAATCTTTGTGTTTGTGGCATAACCATATCTGAAAACAGGCATATTAAAATATATTGAACACATAATTATCTAACATTATCTAAGCTTTGAGTCTTAAGCCCTAAGAAATTGCTCCATCATAACCAAGTGTGAGAAGAATAATCGACTAGAATTGGTCAATTTCTTATGACTTGAGATTTAAAGATTAGATAATGACTTATTATAGAAGGCTCATAATATTACGTACATTTTGTACTCCTCAGTCGCAAATAACAAACCTAAGTATAAATCGCGTATATCAACTGTCGTTTTATTCCCTACGTTCAACTTTTCCTCTATAATATCAATTGATGTATGTACTTTGTAATGGAATTGCAACCCAGCAGCTTCGTCCGTGCATTGGTATATTTTGATAAATTTTGGAGAGTTCTACAAGATATGTATTATTATTTAAATTAATTCAATGTTTACAACTTGTGAATAAATTTGCTGAAATAAGTGTGTATTGGAAAGTTTTGTTGACATGTCATAACCTATCGAGGAAAAAACACTTGTGTATACTTGCATCTTTGCCAATAACAGCTACGCAAGCAGCCATTTTAGGAGATTCTATAAAAATGCAAAAACAATTCCGTTACAATAGGCTACACATTTTTTGCTGATTGTATTTCACGCGAGAATAATTGCGAGTACACAACGCAATCAAACGCAATGTTCCGAGCCTAATACTGATGCTAGGTTAGAACGGCACCACCGTATCATATAGTATAGTCGTTTGAATAAAGAGAAACATTCTTTAGATGAAACATTTTACTTACAAAGCACAAGATATAAATATCAGCGCAATACAATATGCACATTAGACATAAAGTAATTCTAATTTATGACAATTACATATATTAACCAATTTATATATAAAATACACGTAGCAATAATTTATACAGCATTATTATCAGACATGTATACACAGTCGATGTGCCATTTAAACTCATTTCTTTTATCATTGATCATAGTATCTTCTCTTTAATGTTCTATACTTGCGCAACATGTATAAAGCTTCCAACTCTTTTGTTACAAAATTACCGTGATTTATCATCTTATCTATCTTTTCAGGATCAGTCTCTGTTTTGTTTTTATCGAAGGCTCTCTTTAGCTTGGTTCTGAAATACTGATATCCTTTTGGATAGTCTCGGCCCATGTACAACAGCTGAAAGACAACGCAAAACGAAAATTAAAAGAAAACGTGCAATAAGTGAGAAAAATATACATGTCTCAAGCTTATTAATTTACATCTTATGTAATACATCACTAGAATGATGCTAAATATGTTTATTTAGGTATATACGATACTTTATTACCGTTTTATACAAATGAATAACTTTAGTACGTTGTGACATGACACATCATAAATCTTGGTCTTTAGTTAGCAACTAACAACTCAGAGTCTTGTGGAGCCTTGCGAGTCAATCAAGTCAATTAACAAAATGATAAAATCATTATCGTCTGCGATTGTTTCTATTGGAAACAGATAAAAATTGGAAAGTCTTTAATAATGAATGTATGTGCTTGCGAAATAGGCATTTTTTAATTTGTTCCTTGTACCTATATTTTTTATATTTGTTTATTTTTTCTCGTTTCATTCCCTATTATATTACATTATTTCATTAAATATTTATATTTATATATCTCTATACTTTTTATATATTATAAGTGCAGAAAGTGTAAACTGTAAAGTCCAAAGCAAAGATTTTTCTGTGGCGCTCCTACTGGCGATCGGTAGAAGCTTTGCTAGAGACTGGTACGAACAGAGTCAGTGCATGTGTACCGAATTCGCAATAACAAAGGAAATTCTCATCGTAATTTCCAAACAATAAATCGATATAAAAAGGTGATTTATTGTATTTCAAGTATACTTGGTTGTTATGTGTTCTCTCGAGATTTAAGAGACGTGTTTTCTGTATATTTCGGGGATAAATTTTGTATTATATATGTATGTTTTCTACAAAAACGAGATAATATCATCATGACGTCAATAATGTTTACAAAGAATAAAACGTTGCGATCTGCATTTTTCCGGATATTTGAAAGTTATTTACATAGTTCCTTGTTTATAATGCAGTAGTTATACTTTGATGTATTATATAACTACTATTTATTTATTTATATTATTATGTGATCTAATTTTATTTTAAAAATTGATAAATGTTTTTTTATTTATTTGTATCCTTGTACAGTAGTTTTACCAATTACAATGTTTCTGCTATCTTGATAAATATTATTTGTTAATGATTATTTCATTGCATTGCTGTGATTACGATATGCTTTTTCCTTATATCTTTTTATAAATCATAATAAATGTATCAATTTCACATTGTCGCATACAGTGGCATGCAAAAGTTTCCAGCCAGTGATATTTTGTATTTTAATTTATAAAAAAAATCTGATAAAATTTTAATCATTGTCAAGTGTTAGTACAAGGTGTGAGTAATGAAATCTTGTACTAACACCTGATAATGATTAAAATTTTATTAGGTTTCTTTTATTTGTTTATAAATTAGAATACAAAATGTGCTGGCTAAAAACTTTTGTATACTACTTATATAATGTATATGTGTATGATATATATAAACCTGGGTAATCAGTATAATCTAGCTAGGTCAGCCATGTCAGCTGTATCAGAATAATGATAAATGTTTGTAGCATTCATCCATATGTTATATATTTTTCAGAGATACAGTGAAAATGTCTAACCTTAGAAATATTATATTTCTAATATTCTGTGGTAAGATATATATTTAAGTTATATATATATATATATATTAGTTTAATAACTATCTTATTTATTATGTGTTTCCTTATGTATATATTTTTTAAATTTTGTAGGATTGTGCTGTATAGTGGCACTTCCTAAAGAAAACTTGACTGCTCCAACATTTAGTAAAACTTATACAGTGAAAGGAACATTGTATATTCCATATGCAGAAATTCGAGAACCTTTCTATGCTTGGTATGATGGCAACAGTGGATCTAGTAGGATTGATTATTATGGAGGTATTTAAGAATAAAAATCTTTTTTAATTATTATCTATTTTTTAATTTAGATCTGTTTGATATAGCATACATAAACAATACATATGATATCTAAATATGAATATCAAGGGCTATGAGCTAAAAATAATATTTTAATAATACACTGGACAACAAAATTAACGCAACACCTGTTTCACTCTGCAAAAATAGGCGAACTTCAAGATAGAATAACTTCATCAAAAATTATCATATCAAGATGTTTAAAAAAGCATTTTACAGTTTGTAATCTCTACTTTTTAGATCGCTACTTGAAAAAGTGGTCTCACAGAGATTTTATGAAGTTGCACAAACATAAATGAAGATATGTCAGATCTCAAAATTTTTTACGAAATTTGCGAAATTCCACGGGATGGACTAAAAATTGTACGCAAATGTGATTTACATCACTAGAAAGAGCGAATCTTTACCTTTAATTTCCTTTTTTACGAAGCTCTACGATTTTTTTTCACTGAGTTATTCAGTGTTGAAACAAAAATGACCCTTTTGATTGTCCACCATGGGTACGCGTTTATTTACCCATAATTTTCTTTTGTCCATCTTAAAAAAAAATTATAAATAAATTAAAATTTAACAATTCGTTCACTTTTGATATTTTATGTAATGTAAAAATTGTCATCATATTAAAATATTACTATTTTGGCCCGTAGCCCTTGATATTAATATTTTGATTTTTGTTATTATCAAGACATAATATCTGTTTTTTTTTTCTAATAGGGATGGTTAAAACTTTTCAATTGGCTCACAAAGGACAATATGGAGCTAGTATAAAAATAGCACCTATCACAACAGAAACAGTTAATAATGAAGAAACTTGTCTTCGAGTGAATGGTACTAGTGATTCTAAAATACAACCACAATCTATTCTTCCAGATACACCTGAAATGGAGGTAAATGAAATTGTAGAATTTACATTTCTGCAATTTTATAAATTATAGATATACAGGGCGTTCGGAATTCAAATGTCAAAACTTCGGAAGAGTATAGGGGATCGATAAACTAAGAAAAAAAAGTCCTGTAGAAATATACTCGTTTTTGTTTTGTTTTGGAAAAATTCGTACAAAAAAAAGACAAAATGTAATTGCTTTATTCTTTGACGTGAAAGAGTAGTGTCTTGGCCACACTAATTACCTGATCTGTCACCACTGGACTTCTTTGTGTAGAGAATCCTAAGAGAAGTTTATTGTCAATCGACTCAAGAGAATAATTGAGAAATCGAATCGGAACTGCAGTACACTAAATATCAGATCGGTGTTTAGCTGTAACACCAACTGTTCGTACTGATAATATGCTTGCATTTCTGCAAGAGGCCAACATTTCAAATATCTACATTAAGCAAGTGCATAAATACAATGTCAATAAGTAATAAAAAAAAGTACAAAAACGAGCATATTTCTACGAGACTTTTCTCAGTTTATCAATCTTCTACACGCTCCCAAAGAGAGTTTTGACATTTAAATTCCAGACTAAAGTCTGACAAAATTTATACAAATTTATATAAATATTATACAAAGGTATAAACCCAAACAATACATAGTCTGAAATTATAACATAAGACGTCTTTAAGTCGTCTTTTAGACATAAAAAGTGTCTTATGACTCAAATTTAGACACTTTTTGTCTAGGAAATTTTCATAAACTATTGGATTTTTGATATCTGTACTTTCATATTTTCATATGTAGAATTGTTAAAGAAATCATATTATGTAAAAAAGTGGAGGTGACATTCATATCTTTTTGGTGTCACCATCTAGACAAAAAACATGACCAAAAAACGTCCTCCTTGAAATCATTCTACTTTTATACAAAACATTTTTTGTATCATCCTGTATGTGTATATAAAAAAATGTGCAAAGTAGTTTTTATTGAAATTTATATACAGTGTATTGGAACAGAGGTGATCAATGGGTTATCGTGCGAAAAATGGCGACTTGTACAAGAAATTGGGGATAAAACAAACAAGTATACTCTTTGGATACGTTATAAGGTATAAGAATAAAATTATTTGTGCATACAATAGGGTAAATAAATCTGTACTACTTAAAGGAATCTTTATATAGAAATCACCACATCTACCAAAATTCAAGGAACCTATTCCTGTGAGGTATGAAATGAAAGGATTTAATAGTCTTTTAGGTTCACATTATGATCATTATTACTTAGAGTATGATTGGTATTCCTCTGACAAACCTTCTGATGATGTCTTTAAAATCAAAGAAGGTATTTATAATACATATATTTCCAGTTGCTGTTTAACTGATATAAAGTTATTTTAATTACATTAAAGTAAAACAATTACCATATTAAATTTATAATTATAAAGAAAATTATTATTTATAGATGAGTGCGTCAGCTTCCCAGGTCCAGGTGAAAATCATATATATACCTTTAACCCAATGCGTGAATTCATACATAATTATGAGGATCATTTGCATGAAGCATTTGATAAATTTAAAAAAACTTATGATAAAAATTATAAAGATGACTTGGATCATATGTATCACAAAGATTTATTTAGACAAAATATCAGGTACACTTATGCCATGATGAATATTATGTGTATTATCATTCCAAATGTAATTGCTTCATGTAAATAATTTTCAGATTTATCCATTCTATAAATCGCGCCAATCTGGGTTATCAGTTAGAGGTAAATCATTTGGTGGATCGTAGCGATCTCGAATTAAAGGCTTTACGAGGCAAGCAATATACCCCTGGTTCTAATGGTGGAGCATCATTCCCGCATATCATCGAAAAGGAAATTGCAGATGTTCCCGATAGTATAGATTGGAGGCTGTATGGCGCTGTAACGCCAGTCAAAGGTTTGTAATTTTAATATCATATTTAATGTGTATATATATACATATATATATTATATGTTGATGTGTATTTGTGCGTGTACTTTATTTAAATAGATCAGTCTGTTTGTGGCTCTTGTTGGAGTTTTGGTACTACTGGTGCGGTAGAAGGGGCATATTATATGAAGTATAATAAATTAGTACGTCTATCTCAACAGGTAAGCAGCGTAAAAATGTCAAAATTTATGAATTAGTTTATATTCAATTAATTTTTTGTTTGAGAGAGAGAGAGAGAGAGAGAGAGAAGAGAGAGATAAAATAATGCCAAGTATTATAATATTGTAATATAATATATAATAATATATTTATAATATAATGTTCATACCGTGGATCAATTCTAGTCCTTAGAAAATACAAATTAAAGCGTAAGTCGAATGTAAAGGAAGTGTAACAAAAGCGCAAGTAAATGTTCTAAGATGCCTAGATTGGAACAATGGAATGTAAATGAAGCATAAAACATTTACAACGCTTCTTTTATGTTCCATTGTTCCAATTTATGCTCCTTAAAATGTTTGATTATGCTTCTGTCACTCTCCCTTTATGTTCGATTCATGTTTCTTTTTGCCCTACGTTTTATTTTTGTAGGAAATAATATTGTAGTATTAATATTGCAGGCTCTCATCGATTGTTCATGGGGATTTGGTAATAACGGATGCGATGGTGGAGAAGATTTTCGGTCGTATCAGTGGATAATGAAACATGGTGGTTTACCTACTGAAGAGGATTACGGTGGTTATTTAGGACAGGTAAATTATATGTTCGATTACATTTATTAAATACTGAAAATGTACCTAATCATTGATATAACGTGCGAATAAAAATTTTTTTTTCTTTTTAGGATGGATATTGTCATGTAAACAACGTAACACTAACAGCCAAGATCACAGGTTTTGTTAACGTCACTCCACGCAGCGTAGAAGCTTTGAAAATCGCTATTGCTAAACATGGTCCTATCTCTGTTGCTATCGATGCTTCTCACAAGACATTCTCTTTTTATTCTCATGGAGTATATTATGACCCAGTTTGTGGTAAGATTTATAAACTTTTTTTTATGATTTTGAAAAAAAATTATGAATATGGTACTTAAAAAATTATTTTTGTGTATAGGCAACACCGAGGATAAATTAGATCATGCTGTTTTGGCTGTTGGATATGGTACTATGAATGGAAAAGGTTATTGGCTGGTAAAAAATTCCTGGTCGAATTACTGGGGTAATGATGGATATATTCTAATGGCGCAAAAGGATGACAATTGTGGAGTTCTTCTTGCTCCTACCTATGTTACTATGTAATTATAGTTTTATTTCTAAGAATTTTTTGATCGTATCACTTTAAGCTCTCTGATTTTTCCAATTTTAATAAATATATGTATATTCAAATACGATTAAAAAAATTGAGGCTTAATATACTTAGTTATTTAATTACATATTTCATAATGAACTAAGTGTAATAAATTGTTGAGATTGTATTTAGTATAGGAAAATGTGATTATATTAATAATAAAAGATAATAAAACATTTCGTAATTAAGAAAATGTCTATTGAACAATTTTTATTAATATCAAAAGATAATTATTCAGGAAATAAAAAATATTATATATCGGATAAAGTATTATTCAAATTTGAAGTATATTAACAGCAGAAATAAGTAGAATTTTTTATGAAATTTAGGCATATATGTTTAAGTAAAACAGAATCATAGAATATTAATTTATTTTCAGAATAGCTGATATCAAATTAGTACCACATATAATTTAACATAGACTTGATGCATTATTTTTTTTTATCAAAGGATAAAGTTATTTTCACTTTCGCAATTTTTTCTGAGACACGAACAGTCATTACATATTATATTTTCAATTATATTTTTATTAATAGTTTTAACGAATAATACGATATATTCAGAAAATTTTTATAAACTGTTTTTACACATAACGACGTCAACGTAATTAGTAATTATACTAATTCGTTCCTTTTTTTTATTATATTAATGCATTTTTTCGTTTGTCAAATAGCCTTGTACAATTCCAAAATATGGTTATAACTATATATTTTTACAAATATATAAATACTTTTTCTAATGCATTTATGTCTAATAAGATTGTTATATGGTGTTTGTATAATGTGTAATTGATATGGATACTTTCAAAATATACATAATGTCGTTTATATTTGTGATAATAAACACTAAAGGAATGTAAAAAAGTACATGTGATATGACAAACATAGGTATAAAGTAGGCACAATTAATGGAAGTTAATGAATAGTAAACTAATTGTTTGCGATAAATTTGCGCATAGAAATATCACGGTATATTAAGTGAACAATAACTATAGTAGTCATAATTTGTGAAAAATTATGTAAACAATATATCGATAAAAAAATTTGTTCTATTAGAATCTATTAACGCATATTAGAGTAACAATTCTTTGATTTTGTTATTATCAGAAGAAAAAAGATGCAAATTTAGTGCGTTTAAGTACATGAAACGTATATTATAATATATATATTTTTCACAAATTCCATTTTTCAGTTTATATAGTACATGTTACTAAGTGCCAACACTAGAAAATTGTCCGAAAGAATTTTATTATACACAAATCTTTGTTTATTCGAATTTTGCTATCTCTAAAATTTTACTTTCATTCTATATCACTTGTGGACAAGGATGTCCGACCAAACTCGCGAATTACTTTAATATCGGCGAGTATAATTATGATAGTTGCGAAAGTGTCAACTTTCCTTCTTTTATATTACATACGATAAAAGTTATAGGAATGATAAAAGCTGCTCCAGAAAAAGAAAGTGAAGAAATATGTGTATGTATTAAGTACAGGGAATCGAAGCAACTATAGTTATCTGTAACATCGTTATACTTTCCTTGTCATTACTCTGTTATGATAATTGATTTAATAATGATAAATTTTTTTTATAATTGTAAAGGTAACATATCAGAATTGGAAAAATCACTCGTTACTATAATAAACAAATTAACTCAGCATTCATAACTCGTTGCTTTTAAAGAGTAACGTTACTCGTTATTCGTCACATGTTACTTTTTTTTAGCAAGTAAACGCGTAATGATGCAAGTTACTTTTCAAAGTGACTTTCCCAAGCTCTCAATGTTTACTTATAAAAAAATTGCAACATTATTAACAAATCGTTATTACAAAAAAAGAGGAAAAAATAACAAAAAGTAACTTGATCTTCCATTCCCTGGTTAAGCATAGCTTCTTCGTTAATTTTTTTTTTTTTTTAAATCGCACAGAGAGATACACGTTATGCAATTTTTCATACGACCGAAATGTTTCCTGGTAGAGACTGATATTTCATATATGCTTTTGATTAAAGAAATCCCATTTCTAAGGCAGTATAAAGGGCTTGAGTGTCCGAATGACTATTTATCCTCCAAAAGGGAAAGTTGTGTGCCCGCGCTGCCGTTTCCTCGTCAGAATCGTCTCCTATTACCACATACGTACATCTACGGCCAAATCGAGCGACCACCCTACCGAAACAACTCTCCTTTCCTAAAACAAAAACAGTAACTTTGCTACTAAAAATATAATGGAAGAATGGTCAAAATCCCGCTTTGTGATCAAATGATGTTCAGAATGTCTCGAACTTTTTTTACACACCACTTTTGTAGACAGATAAACTGGACTAAACTGAGTCAAAAAGTCCTCCATCTACCATTCTGCAAATTTTGCAATAGTTAATGAGATATTAATTTTTAAAGATTGTTGAATAAGCGAGTAAAATCGACACATACTCGTATACATGTAGAAGGCAATTTTAAGACGATATTTTTCGAAGTCCTTTATGAAATATTAGGATATCTTTTGAAGAACTTAAAAATATCTAAAAATTATCTCATAGCGTGGATTTTAAGATTTTCTGCTCATTGAGTAACTGCTGAAAAGAACGTCGAAAATTGTAAAATGATATAGAACTTTTCGATTTTCACTCAGCTTAGTCCGCTCTACCTGCGATGTGTCAAACAATTTGGGACACCCTGTATAATTACATTTTTTAGATAATTGTATTTAATTATTTCTTTATACTTGATAATTACCGATTTTGGAGGCTGAGTATATATTCTCTATAGGAAATATTCCGCCGATGCCAAATAGCAGAACTTTGGAAAGTGCGGGTACCAGTTGCGTAGTCGTTACTAGGATATTGATGCAATGGCTTCTCTTGTTGATAATGTTCAGACATTTTACTGCCGACGTCAACCAATTGTCGGTCAGCATTTCGATCTCGGAACGCAGCTGTAGCCACTGTTCGCGTTTTGCTGTCCCCAGGAGGCCGCCCACGTTATTCCGATAGTTACAATAGATCTCCTTGATTTTACGATAGCGGAACGCTAGCTTCCTCATCCAATCGACGCCTCCTCGCACCCCGGACGCCAAGCATATCCCATTGTTCGCGGACGCGCACTGGAAACCGTCGGTCGCGAAATTGTAGGATGACAGATCCTGCCCGTTGTCGTCCGACGAAACGTCATCTATATGCACTTGATCACAGTCCTGCGAAAGAAAAAAAATTATAAGTACTAAGATAACGCTTGTTATTTTATAAAAAAACGACAAAATTAAGATATTGAATTTTCGGTATTATAAACAAGCATACGATGTAAATATAGTTGACAAACTTTATTATTATAATGACGAACTTTCGTTTTAAATTTTAAATTATGAAATTATTATAATAAAGTTTGTCAACTATTTACATCGTACGCTTGTTTATAATACCGAAAATTCAATATCTTAATTTTGTCATTTTTTAAAAGAATAATACGCTGAATTTTTTGCAAATTTAAATTTGTATATAAAAATACGAATCAGAATATATAAAGCATATGGTTCAAATATGGCTCGTTTTGACATTTTATTTCCTCTCGAACTAAAATATTCGAAAGTTCATTGTATTTCTAGCTGAAATCTAACCGTTATACTATACAGGTAGTCACATATACGTATGCAGATGTTAGTTTTTAAAGAACACATGGTCAACTTATGGAAGTTTTCTTCTCGGAAAAGTTTCCACCTAGGAAACGAACTGTGCATATCATTGCAAATAATGTATTATATTTGCAAATTTATAAATGATAATGATAAATAACATTCTGTATTGTTTTCTAGAAAGTATTTTCTAGATTTGTCCGAGAAAGTGATAATTTTCAGAAAATAAAATAAATAATTAGATAATCTTGAATTCTTTAAGATTAAATGTTAGTTAAGTACTTGCACGTAGAATAGTCATGAACATTTTTTTTTACATTTTCGAATCTATAAAATTGAGATATTCTGCGGTAATCATCCTGTACAAAATTTATACACGTTAGGAAATTTGTACCTCGACGTCGTTGAAGAAAAAGTGCGTATCCGCCAAATTGAATATCATTTCCTCCATCCTAAAACCCACTTGAGCTAGAAGGCTTGCATCCTTACGGTACTTAGTGGCGAATTGTCCGGTTAGTAGGGAATGAAACACGACTATGGTTTCGTCGAGATCCCAGATAAATATACGCTCGGGGCCGGCTTCCGTCGTATCCGCAGAACCGATACTGTTTCCGCTTCCGCTCTGTCTCCTTCCACGTCTGCATGGCTTCGTCGTTGCCACTGAAAGTCGTTGTACAAATTTTTTTATAAATTCAATATAATATTAAGCTCTTTAAGTATAAAACATATAAAATAAAAGAAGAGCTAAGAGCCAAATGTTGACATTTAATAAAGACAATTTACTTTAAATTAATAAGCATTACAAATTAAAGAGAGACAATACAAATCAAATAAAAATAAAATAAAATAAAAATATCAACAATATCAGACGTTTCGACACCGATCGGGTCATTATCAATGTTAACAAAATTTAAAATGAATATGTATACAAAATTTATAAATATTTTTTCATCATTATACGTACATAATACCAATATTAACAGTAATATAATATCAGTGTTATAATTTCCCATGTGTGAACATTTTAATTATTATTAATATTTAATATAATATAATAATTTAATATAATTATAATTTATATTGCATTTATATTGTTGAGTGGGAAATTATAACATTGATGTTATATATTACTATTATATATATATAATTGTGGTGTTTACTGAGTTTCAAGTCGTCTTTTAGACGCAAAAATATCTTTTGTGATTCGAATTAGACATTTTTTGTTGTCCGGGTATATTATGGTCCTGCACATAATCGAGAAAATATTAGGAACAGGAATAACTATTAAGATTTCAAATGGAATCAGACTAATTATTAAGATTTCAAATGAAATCAGATTATAGTTATTAAGATTTCAAATAAAATCAGACTAGTTATTAAGATTTCAAATGAAATCAGACTAGTTATACCGGAATACACGATTTCTGATAAGTTGGAATCTTAATATTTATGGCTGGTCCTAATATTTGTTCTATTGTGCACCTATCCCTTTGATAATATATATATAAGATTATGTATAATATTACCTTCGATGTTTGCGGTTTCCCGTGCGGTCAGATCGCTCGCATCGTGCGCCGTTGCGTCTAACGTGAGCGACTTGGTCGAATCTTCTCACGCATATAAAATAACGTTAATTGCGACCATTTGGTAAAAGGCCAGGCATTAAATGTGCAAATGATTTTTGAATTGTAAAATTTCTTATTTATCGTTTGTGCGAGAGTCAAAATATCAATCAAAGTTTCGATCAGAATGTTAACGCATTTAAACGTAATTTTCAGAACTAGACTCGAACCACCTTCCAATTAAACAACTAGCTTGAATGCAAAAGTTTTATTTTACATCACCGTTTTTCCAACAGTTTATGTAGCGGTTATAAATTGTTTACTTTCTCCTAACAAAGAATTTCATTTACATCATGCAAGAAAGCGCGTAACAGTTAAAAGATTACCAGCGAAGTTAATGTTTCCGATATTAAATGAAGTAGGCGGTGGATGATGATAACCAGGCACAGGATAATATCCGGAGTACTGCAACGATACCCTGTCGTTTCCGTACAAACTACTGCTGTAAGCGCTATAGTCTAATTTCTGCGGAAGGAAAGAAGATAAAGTCATTCGCAATTTTTGGGGAGAAACCAATTGAAACGAGAAATCGTACGTATCGTGTTCGCCCTCACCTGGGAAGCCGATGATATATTTTGCGCCATATTCGGGAAGGTCGTCGTCCCGCTATTGTAACTGGCATAGGACGGATACTGCGTCATCGAGCTTGACGATGTATAAGAGCTTAAGTATGGGCTCTGCAAGCTCGATGCGTTTTTCGAAGCTGTCGTCGATCCGTAAGGCGGCGAGTTGTATAGACTAGGAAAGAGAAGAAACCGCGATGAAGACCAATTGCTTTTTGGATAAACAAAAGATTTATTTATGCAAGTCAAATTATTGATTTTACATATATATGCAGTTCGACGATCGTATACGAGATTGATTTGATTTTAAGAGAATTATCAAAAGATACAATGTGATAATATTTCATACGGCAAGTATATCTTCCGTATTTTATCATTTTATTTAATATAATTCCAGCAAATTATAAATATTTTTTCATTGCAATAACTTTTTAAAATAAAATTAATCTCATTATACATTTATAATCATATTAAACTGTATGTCTGGCGAATAATGTTTAAATACCTGTTATAATATTGGTTGGCGCCGTATAGGGATCCGTAATCCGCTTTTTCCATCGAATCTGGATACTCCGGCTCTTTTTCTTCAGCATTCTCGTCAATATACAGTTCACCACTAGGTACGCTGTCGTTTTCGGGACAGTCTTGGACCTCGTTCTTAACTTCGGTTTCTTGTATAAAAATGACAAAATATTTCGTTTATATTTTTTAATCCCTTGAGTTTAAATATACACTTATTTATGATTTAACTTAATAATTTTTCACTAACTGAGGAAGACAAGTCCATTTCTATCAATGTAGATCAACTTGAATCTCGGGTTAATTTAATTGTTAGAATTAAAAGAAGACAAAAAGTAAGACAAGCCCGAGTTTAATGTTAATTTTACATTGGTAGAAATGGACATTAGTTCAAGAAACGTTCAGTCAATTTTTTTGTTACTTTTTAGTCTTCTTTTAGTGTGAATAAAATTATATCATTATATAGATATTTAATTTAAACTTATTTAAATTTTTTACCTTCGGTAAATGTACTTATTATTTTGTTTATAAATGCCATTTCCAAAATGTCTACAACATATACACATCTCTGCTTAAAATGGTTCGCAATAGTGATTGCCATTTGTTATCCATGAATTGTATTTTCAAAGCACTGATAATTACACAGTAAATGTAAAAACAACAAAATGCAAAGCGCATGATTAATGAGATAGTCGTACTGACCAACGAATTGGCTGTTAATGAAGAAATTAATTTTTTAAATATATTGTACGTAAAAAGGGGGAGGGGGATAAAATGTCTTAAACAATTGTTTAACTTTGAATTTACATAGCGATGCATCTATTCTACGCCAATGTATAGCTACCATTGTTTGCGGCGCGAGGATGCTGTACCGAGGCTTCAGTCGAGGAAGACACGTTACCAGCATTGTCTAAAACCCCTGCTGGTTTTGTCGGATCATTGTCTTCGGTTAACATATCACTCTATCTGTAATAATAATTATCGATTTGTCTCCTCTTTATACCGAGAACATGATAAAAGAACGTGCAAACATCGTGATGAAAAAGTAAAATTGCATTGCGTTTATAACTTGAAAATTAGTGATGTCTCTTTATTGAAAAGGTATGAGATAACGAGAGGGGGAATCCGTAAATAAAAAGTATACAGTTATGTGAGAGGATAAAGATTAAAGAACGAGCTGAAGAAACAATACAAGATATTATAATTTATAAATAATTAAAATAGAGTACTTTTTGACACCGAGTCTTTATCAACTAATAAAATAAGTGGTTAATTAATAAGACGCACACAATTAAGCGTCATAAAAAAAGGTGTTAATCGTATTACAATATTTTCATTAAATTACATAAACAAAGAGAGTCCTCCAAAAAATTACTTAAAGAATCACGCACACAAATCCAAGCTAAGTCAGAAATAATAAATTATAAAATTTGAGACAAAAAAAGATGAGATTTGAGGTTCATGCAATTAAATGGTTAAAATTGCATTGATTCGTCGTTCGATGGCGAGAAATGTTAAATTAAGTCACGTGGTAAACGTTAATATTAATTATCTCCTCATACATATATAAAACTCGTCTACGAGAATTATGTTTCAACAATGATTAAAAATCATCAATATATACCTCAGTTCTCTCATCTCACGAAAACAACTGTTATTTTAATCGATGAAGGACACACTAATTAATATCAGAAGTGAAACCATAGAAATAAAATTAATATTAAATGTGACCATAGGAAATAAAACAAAAGTTTATTGTATACGTATATAAACTTACATGTAAAGAGTCGAAGGCAAAATTATATGTGTGCCTTTTAAAAACCAGAAACGTTACCTCTCAGTTAAAATTCAAATCTCTCACTACATCAACTATGAACATATTGATTTATATCGGCACGATAAAGTGAAAGTTTTTGTTTATACTATTTTGACATTAAAATTTGATAAGTTCATCAAGAATGTTTAAAACAGACTATTAAGCATCTTGGTATCCTTGTTAGCAAAACGTTGCGGTTAATACCTCTTTTATAACGCTTGATTATACTATTTTATTAATTGATCATTTATTTTGTCAGCTGATGAAGAGTTGGTGCAGTCAAACCTTTTCTATTTCGATCTCTTTTGATACATTAAATCCTCATTTTTATTATTTACTAATTTTAATAAATCTCTTGTATGACGTATACTATAGCTACATATTTTATTTCAATAATCTACATTTAATAGTGTATGACGGAGAGTCACATTATGGACTTATACTCTAAAATAAGCAGCTAAATTCCAAGGCATTATCGACTCTGCGTTAACGCAATCTCACAGGTAAAGAAAGATTGCACCTGTAAGATCGCGAGAGGGGCAACTCATTCGCGTGAGAACTCGATTATTGTCTGCCAATTGCGTGTCGAAGAGGTGGAGTGACTGGCTGGGTAGGCGTACACCATGAGGCACTGAAACCAGCCAATGGAGCCTTCTCGATGCTTTGCATTATGTATTCTTTATGTTGCCAAGTCACTATCTATATCTGCACTCCGCCCTTATGCGTGCGCGTACATATGTCTCGTACATATTTCGTATGATGGTGCGAAAGACAGCTTTAAGAGTTCCTCGAGATGCGTGGATCATTCTTATCCTGCGTACATCTCTTTTTGAATAATATCGAAGATTTTATTACACTTCAACTTTACACAGCCAAGAAGGAGACTTGGTTTATACATAAAAAAAAGGTCTTAATCTATTCTCCATCACCTCATCCTTTCCTATCTATCTAAATTGATCCAGTAACATAACACATAATTTCACAAATAGAACAACCTCTTCTTATCCTATTTTCAATATAGTACAATTTAATTTTACAGCTGATAAGAAATTTAAGTATCTTGATAATAAAGTCTTTTAAGTGCGATTGCTTTTGACGGAAGCTCATCAAAAACTAATTAGTATTCTGAATAAAATTAAATCACCATAAGAAAGTGTAAATAATAAGTAACTAAGCTTAACTCTTTAATTCATCCTTTTTTGGAAAATTATTATTTTATCGATGACGAACGATTCTTATATAGCAAAGTACTATATTATTGTGAGGAAATTGAATCTTGAATTTAATGGATAAATTGCGACTTTCTGGCACATTTTATGCAAAAAGACGTATAAAAGCTCAACTCTCCAGATTGTTCAAATATTATATGAATCTGGGCCACCCTGTATATCGTCGCAGTTCATCTCGCTGCACCAAGTTGCATATCTTAATGTACAGCGAAGCGAAAGATGAAAGGCACTCCACTTATCTAAACAAAAGCCTGTGCCGAAGTGTTTATCGCGGACGAGTTGCTTAGCTTGCTGTCTGACTGGCTGTCTGTCTGTCAACCGTCAGGGAAAACGAAATGCAGCGAAACAAGAGGAATGCCGCTTGTTTAGTGCTTATCCGCAGGTCTCTTCTCTCGTCCACCTAATGGCTCGGTTTACATTGTCGATCGTTGGGGAGAGAGAGAGAGAGAGAGAGAGAGAAATCTAAGGATGGCTACACAAGAGAAGTTTATCGAGACAAAAGCTTTTTGTCCGAACCTAAACCCGCATCAAAAACATATATAAAATAGATGTCCTTTGAAAATAATTTGTTTAACCATCTCGTTTTCATAATAGCTATTTACCATATTATTTCTCGAGAAAATTTACTATTACGAGCTTTAATATTTATTTTTTCGTGAAACAATTGTTTATCAGAAACAATAATTTTTTCTAAGATCTTTTTACTATATAATAGCTAGATTAGTTTCGCAGTAATACTATTGCTTAAATAGAATGTGTTAATAATTGTTAAAAATGTCATAACGTCTAAGATTTTTCGATTAAAACTTATTGACGTAACGAATAAATAACCTTTAATTAAAAAACAAAGATAGACAAAGGCATATAAGAGTCAAAACCAAATACCTTTTTATAAACCACTTTACCTTTAATTAATACAGTCATTAATTTCAACATCGAGTAAATTGTAAATGTAAATAAATACCAAGATATGTACAGCGCTGAGAGCAAGATGATGTAAAATAATAATTTCCGAAATTATATTAAACTTACAGTTCTTTCACAAAAAAGTAAATATTAGAACTTTATCGCTTCTCTGTTGTTTGGTAAACTGTTACGAATCTAGTTTAATAAAACTATCGTTAACCTACGCGTTTTTTAAAGAGACCGTATTGCCTAATACTACGCAATGGCCAATTAAAATACATTACTGCTCTAACGAGCCGAATGAGATGCATAAGTTACGCATGCTCAATTGATAATGACGTTTCATGCGTGAGTGCGAACATCCGCGAACAGCACAATTCTCGGCTGCTTCTTCCTCTCTTTTTCTCATTTTATTTAGCTACTTTAGGAAAAACGTGCGCGTACAAAACGTTGTGTTCTTATCAGGACCCTTTAAATTTCTGTCACATAATTAACATGTGGAGGTGAAAAGGATATATTATCTCTTTTTAAAGAGTGTTTCTTCAAAAATAGATAATTAGTAAACCGGAAGAGCCGCATTAACACAAATTCTAAAATATTACAAATTACAATAAATGTAATTATTTTTTAAAGTTATTAGTAAAAATTTCAAAGTTACAAACGCGTAACACAAAATTAATGCAATAATTTAGTAATCTTAAAATATACCATGATGATATGTTTATTTAATAAATATTTTAAAAAGTTTATAAATAGACACATATATAGAAATAGATCTTTCTGTAAGAATTATGATAATGCCAAAAATTTGTAAAAGATACAAATACATAGTAATCATATTTTTAACTCATTCTATATTATCCGTATCGATAAAATATAAGTTATGTACTTCAACATATGTATTTTTCAAATCCCATTTTTATATTCTTTTTATCGGACTTGTACGTATTTTTAACTTTGGCAGGACTTTTAAATTTTAATTTTTTTAGAAAGGCCCATTCCCGCGCGTAGTCGTGAAAGATCGCTGTTTGTCAGGACACGCGGTGTATGATTTGACAAAAATCTCGATTCGCTATACGTATGTATATTAATCGTGCGAATTAAAGGGATGTTCCGTCAGGAGCATCGAGAAGAGAGAAATCCTCGCGGAAATTCGTCGAAGCGAAATCTATATAATAAAGCAAAAACATCGATCAGAATCTTACATTCCGTCGTTGGCTCCAGACTCGAAAACGGAGTGGTGCTCGACGACAAACGTGCGTTCAAGGATGCCGTCGACGATCGCCTCCTGATAACAGCATCGTTATCCCGAGGACACGTAACGCGCGCGTGTCTATATTATGCGCGTAAACACGTCGTAACGGTATATCCACGCATTTACCACGTTTACTTTTTTCTCTCTTTTTTCGCCCGGATTTTCACTCTCCCCGCATCTTCCGGGACTACGGAAACATCATTCTCACGTTGTGCGTGTTCAACCACCACCCTGCGTTACGCGTGCGTTACGTTTTGCGCACCGCCCGGCACACAACACACACACACACATATATATATGTATATATATTAATATACACACACACACACCCACACACAAAACACACACAGAGAGCACCGTCGCGTCGGCGATATGCTGTCGGAACGATGAAGAAAACCCACGTCGTTTCGGCCGCGCGAGAGGCCTCGTCCGGATCTCGCTCCTCGCGGAATCACGTCGCTCCCCGCCCGTTTCGCGCAAGGGATGCAGGAGGATATACGTCCTGCACCCGCGGACACGCAGGACCTGCACCGCCGCGGCGCGCGAGGGGAGCCTTTATAATTTCCCCCCCCCGATTAGAGAGGACCTTCGGTTTTTTTTTTCCTCTATACCGGAAAACGCCGCGTTACCATCCCCCCCCCCCCCTCCCCCCACGGCAAAGTTGTATCACTCACGCGATGTACAGACTCGCTTCGCTATACCATCGTTTTTCCCGGAGCGTCGCATCGAGGAGATGTGTTCGGCGGGTCCTCGCCGTGGCCGCTGTGTGTGCGATATACGTTGCAGAGGCGGCCGCTGTGCTCTGAGCGGTTCTGAGCATGCGAAATGTCGCCTGCCACCCCCGCCCGATGGTCACGTGGTCACCCGTTCGTTCGGCTCCTCTTCGTC